GCTTCCTATTTCCAACATTTCATAATCACCTTCTTGTTTATTTTTAGCACTATGAGATACTCCTAGCTCATTGTTCAGGGTGACTGCTTATTCCAAACAGCAGGAATCAAATTATCTCCTCAAAGAATTCTAATTTTTGAACTGAGAATGAAAATAGGCTATAAACTGTTATAACCAAATTATATTGAAGAAAGTGTTCCGCCAGAAAGGCTCACTTCCTCCTCCTCACCTAAACCACTTCTAGATGCTTTAGCCATCCTTGAATTCCTCAGTATTCTTTTAAGTCTTTTCAGTGCATTCACCATTTTTTCTCAGATTGGTCAGTGGTGGTTTTCATTATTTTTATCCAAACATCATTTGTCATTTATCCAATTTTCAATCAGTTGGAATTTTTAAAGAAAAATTTCACCTCATCTTCAGGGACAAATAAGCAAATAATCCAGGTAAATTTTGTCATAAAAACACTGGTTTTTGCTTCCCACAATGAGTGGTCTTTCAGGATGATCCAAGAATGACAAAAAAAAAAAAAAATACAGTGTTCATGCCAAGGGCCGAGCTTGAAGAAGGTCCTTTGCCTCTTCCATACTCCATTTGCCCTCCATAGACTAGATGTCTGTTTGACTAAGATTGTGGACCTTGGGTGTCACAGCCCCAGGAGACAGTTACATTATGTATCTTCCTCGTTCCCTTTCTGTGTATGCCCCAATTATGAGACAATCACAGTATGTTCAGTGTAGGCCATGCAGCACTAGTTACCCCTCCTTCCCTTCTTGTTTGTCCTACATTATAAATAAAAAACATGCTGAACTCCAGGCAGCCATTAGCTCTCAAAAGGCCATGGCCCACCTGGTCCCAGCTCTTAAGCATAGTCCTGATATTTTCATTTTTCTTAATCTCCTAGCACTCTCCCCAGTTTCAGCCCCTACTCAGCGAGGGTCATGGCATATTCAAATTTTTAAAAATGTAGTATAGTAAAAGGCACAATGTCATTAATTTTCCCCCAAATACTCCCTCTCCCTTAGAACACATTTGTCTTTTCATTCTTGTCACTTTCTGAAGCAGTTCTGAAAGTTCTATTTTATATTTCGTTGTGCTGTGGTAGCTGCCCTGGTATCCTCAATTGGTTCAAAGTGTTTAGCTTTCATGGTTATTTAAACAGGTATAAGAGCCAGAAGTCATACGGCACCAGATCTGTGAAAAAAGTGGGTGAGGACACAGTGAAATAGTTTACCCTCCCCGCCTTTCACTGGGTGGCACTAGGCAGCAGCATTCACTATACTTTTTGTCATACCTACCGAAGACACTCGGAAAGGAAGATTCCAGATCTGCTTCAGAAAGTGCCAAGAACGATGGGATGTGTGGGTTTAAGACTGGCAATCAATGTCACTGTGCCTTTTACTGTAATAAATGTTTTTAAAACCCTTAAATATTCACTGTGCTCTTTGCTCACCCTGTATACTAGGTTGGATGCTCATTTACGGCTTTGTTAGGTGAGTAACTGAAGATAAGAACAAAATCAAGAAATGATAAATTTCCAGGCAAAATGGGGTAGTAGATGAATAATGCAGCTATGAAAGATGATAAAATAAACAAGTAAAAGCACAGAGCCAGTTAATGCAAAACTTTCTCCTGGTCCTTTAACAATCATGAAATGCTTATTTTCCTCACCATCCTTTGCCACACACCCATAAGGCTGAGTATTTGGAGGAATCCTCTGAGGCTACACTCAGCATACACTTGGTACCACTGAGGCAGGACTGGATAAGGCCTTCCATGCTGTCAGGAAAGAGCTGTTAGTAATGCAAGAATACTCTCCCTCTACAGCTCTGTTTGGCTTACAAGCTCTTTAGCTCCAAGTCCTTCCAAGTTAGAGCCAAGGAAGCTTTAATTTCTGGAGCATGTAGAGAAGGGGAGAGGCAGCCACCTGGTGGATTTACTCACAGATTCCCAGAGCAGCTGAATTCTACCCACAACACTTAATTCTGTTGTCTAAAATGTTTTCCATATTTAACTGGCTCTAGCATATTGTAATAGTGATATTTAATGGTAAAGCATGTCACTGCATTTAAATTATCTAGGTATAACCTTGTCTCTGTGTGTATGTGTGTGTGTGTGTGTGTGTGTGTGTGAGAGAGAGAGAGAGAGAGAGAGAGAGAGAGAGAGAGCACTAGGGATGGAGCCCAGGATATCATACGTGCTAAACACATGCTCTACCACTAAACTGCACACCCAGCCTCAGGCACTGTTTTGATCTGATACCCTGTAAAAAATACATACTATATGAATGCTCTTTAACATTGTGATGACATCCTTGACTTTCCTCCTGGAACAAATCCATAAACACTTTACACTACTTTTAAGAACATAAAGTATATTTGTAATTAAAAATTTCTTAGAGATTATCCTAGGAGCTCATTGGAAAGTAGGTATGTAAATTCAAATTTTATTTTGTTATATGCTCTCTGATTCAAAGTCTCCAAGAATCAGTATTACAAACAGGACTCATATATAAGTATTTGAAACTTGAAAATATATTTAGAACTTAGTAATGGTTGAGAACAGAAAGGTCCCCCAAATGTTCCAAAGCTCAAAGCCAGGGATCCTGGAAGGTGATTGGATTACTGGGTTTTACACTGACTCCCTCTTAGGAGGCAGGGCCTTGTTGGAGGAGTGTGTCGTGGTGGGCGTGGCCCGGAAGGGTTTCTCTCCCTTCTCAACTCCGCCCATCCCTCTCTTCTTCCTTGCCACCATGATGTGAGCACTTTTCCTCCTCTATACCCCTCTGCCCTGGGGCTTTCTCTCTGGAAGCTGGCAGAGTATAGACTACAACTATGAGCCAAAATAAACTGCTCCTCTTTTAATTGTGGATGCTGGCATTGCTTCTCAGTAGTGACCAAGACATACCTGTTAAATTCTAGAGAAACAGAGATGATAATCGTTTTTAGAAATGCAGTTCTGAATGAGATACAGTCACAAATTTTCTAACCTTTTAATAAAGAAAGAGATGTGTATAGTACTATATCTAATCAGGGTGGTAGTTTGAATAACTTTTTATTTTTATTTAAGGGCCAGTATAACAGTACATATTTTACAGGATGAATTCAGGATTGAGCCCATCTGGAAATAATATTTTGCAATACAATTTTATAAAATATGTTTTCATACCTAACAGAGTAACACAAGTCATAACTGATCAAAAAAAAATCACATGAAGTTTTTCACATGTGTAGTGCAGATCATCTTTATAATTTTGGCACTCCTAGCAAAGTTTCAGTAATCTTACTGCTTTGCTCTCATGGGCGTCTCCCTTAGTAACCACATATTCAGTTAAAACTTTGGGAGGGATAATCCCCAAACAAAGATGGCCCTCGCCACATCACCAGGCTTCCCAACTCAACAGCAGAGAAGGGCAGGGCATGCTGTGGGTAACTGGGATAACTATTTCATTGACCTTAGCAGGAACATCAGAGCCTTCCAAAACAATGTGCTGAGATATTCTGATTGCGGACCTAGGATCTTGGGTCTGATGCATTTGAAGGCCAATGTGTGGCCTTGAGATTTGGGATAAGGCCGGTGAGTGTCTCTTCTGTCATGTGGGCCCATTGCTACGAACAGCCTTACCTGTCCCACTGCAAATCAGTTTGAAAAAGAATAGTTCAGGAGAAGGAGGAGGAAGATGAAAACCTGATTTTTAAAAATTTTCCAGGTCCTTACGGTTCTGGGAATCGCTCCATACAACATATATGAGAATCTCAAGGCAATTGCCTACACTAACATCATGTGCCTTATAGCCCTCACCTCCAGTCTCTCCCCATTGATCCTTTGTCTGACACAGAAAAGATGTCTCAATAAATTGTGTAGTAATTGTGACAGTTAAGCTTATTGCAACTTAATTGGCTTTGGAGCTATAGAAGGGATTAGTAAAACACACTCCTGGGTGTGTTTAGGTGGCCAAGGAGGTGTGTCATCGGGTACTAAATGTGGACCCTGTCCCTTCTCTCTGGCTCTGTTTCCCAGCTCTACTTCCTGGCTGCCAGGATGGTCCTGCCTTGGAGCCATCTGAAGATGGACTGAATCCCTTGAAGCCGTGAGAGAAATTAAGCCTCGTCTTTAAATTGTAGGTGTTGAGTTTTGTGTCCAGGGACAGGAAAACTGATCAATACAGTAATCCATCAGTGAGCATGCAAACACAGGTGAATGCTATATGTGAAAAGAACTGGCTTGCACAACAAAGACACTGAAGTGTGCCTAGTGTTTGGTTGCTGTCACCTGAGATTTCCTCCGCTGACACTGCATCGGTGAGGCGTCCAGAGTGGCAGACTTCTGCTGGAGTCTTGGCTCCTGCCACCAACAGTTATGAAAGCTCATGTCGAAGGCAGGAGTGCCACCAACATATTCACAGTTAATTGTGGATCGGATTTAACCCTGAGATTAAGAATTTAGACCCAGACAGAGAAAAAGTCACAAAAAATCACACCAGTCTTTTATTGTTTCTCCTTTTGACAAATCTATGACACTCATGTGGTTTCCAACAACAACTTGGAATATTAAGTATATTTGCTTGAAATGAAGGCTTGAAAGAAGATATGGCTGTCACAGTATTCAAAATATCAAGAATTTTTATATCAGGTATCTTCGCGTTTAAAATAAAAAAATGTATGCAGAAGCTTTCTGCCATGATTCTATATTAGACTTGATGTAGAATGACAGCTGGATCATGTTAAATTCAATCAATGGCCAGTCAGCTTGAAAATCCAAAACTTTGAATCCCATGAAATGAGAATAATTTCCTTCCACTGAAACCTTATCTTTCATAAATGCATGCAAAACATATATATTTCATCTGTGTCAAAATACCAGGGAAAATGCAAGTGTTTTATGCACACAGTCCAAGTAAGGACTGTCTGTAAGATGAAATTTATTTTGTGATATTCACAAAATTTTTCTCTATCTTAGTTCATCAAATAGTTTAAGTGTTATTAACAAATAACTGTCTCCTTCTGATCGCCCGTATGTGTGCATTCTCAAAAGTCCTTTATTGCCAAATGCTGCTTTCTGATATGAAATGTGAGAATTTCTCAGAGGCAAGTGTTGCCTCTTCTTGAGGGAATCCCAGGCTGGACATCAAGAGTGCAGAAATGGACAAGTCTGCTCTGTGAGGCATGCGATCCCCTGCTCTCCTTGACCCCATGTGTACCAGGCTTCCTGGTCTCTGCACCAAACCCAGTGTCACCCAACACTGTGCAGTCTTACCTGTAAAGCTTTCCCCCAGGAAGGACATCCTGGGAATGAAACTTTGTTTCTCAAACTCCCCATACTTATCCTCAGGCTGGTTCTCCAGATGCCCGTGAGTTGGCAAGCAAGGCCTTGTGTCTGTGTCACTCAGTGTCACACTCTGGAGAGAGCCACACCAGTCTCGATGCCGATGCCTCCTGACCACTCTACTCTCTTCTTACGCTTGGGGAGCTGGTGCTGACGAATGATGTTGTGTTGAATCCTTGCAGAAAGTGACGATGATGCTGTAACTTCTGCAAAGATGAAAGAAAGAGATGCACACTTGCGTACTCCCTCCTCAAAGCACAATGGAAAAACCTGGGTGTTGTGTGCAAAACTAATATGAGAAGACTGACGTGCAGGCAAATGATAGCCACTTTACAGAATAAAATATTCAGGTGTCAGATCAGCACATGAAAAGGTGTTTAACATCATTAGCCACTAAGGAAATGCAAATCAAGACCCACTGAGGTAGCATAGCACACCTATCAGAGTCATTCAAATAAAAACAGAATGCAGATGAATGTGCAGCAAAACATCAGAGCGACTTTGGAAAAGTCTGGCAGGTCCCTGGAGAATCTAAACACGAAGTTACTACATGATCCAACAATTGCATGTGGGGGCTCTTATCCCAGTAAAAGTCTAAAAAAATGTGGTCCCTCAAAAATCTATGCAAAAGATGAGTGGCAGATTTAATTTTTTAAAGCAAAATGCTGACACTTAGAGCAACTTCCCCAGGAAACAATTAAGCACACAGTGCCAGATTCGTACCATAGAACACTACACAGCTCTAAAAGAATGAGACATTGAAACAACTTGGAAAAGTCTCTGGGTTGTTCAGTGAAAAAAATACTAAAGCTGATCTCAAAAGGATTGTGTCCTCTATGCTTCCATTTCCATGGCATTCTTGCAATGATGACTTCGTAAAGAATAGGTTAATGGTTGCCCAGGGTTACAGGGAAGCAGGGTCAGGAAGAAGCGAGGATGGCTCTGCAAGACTGGCAGGAGGGATTCCAGTGGTAATGGAAGCGGGTGCTTTGGCTGCATCGGTGCCCGTCTCCTCCTCCTCCTCTTGCTGCACCACAATTTGTCAGGTGTTGCTTTTGAATAACTTGGTCAAAGTTACACGGGGCTGCTCTGGATTCTTTTGTTTTCCAGTTGCCCGTGAATCTACATCATCTCAAGACTTTAAAAGTTTAACTAAAAACGAAAGTTACAGCTCGCTGATTGCTCAATGGTCAATGGTTAATGCACTTTAATTATTAATTATTCCCTAAATTGCTTTCAGTAATCAAAGAATATCTTAAAGTTCCATTTACCTCTTTGAGATTTTATGAGTCTCATATGAGGGCTTGTATTCATGGCAAAATTAAATTCATAAAATTACTCAAATGTGTTAAACATGGCAGTGGTCCCTTACTTGCTATTATGTGCTGAAATACACCTGGCAATTGCCTAAGATAAGCAGGAGCTAATTATATCTTTTAAAGTCATTTTCATTTGTGCACATGCCTTGGTGGATGAAACGGGCAGGTAACTGGTGTTCTCTCTGGCGTATCTGGATGGCCTCGGTCACTTTGCTCACAACGGCAGATCCCCAGAAATGTTTATTTAGGCTCACAGTTGGTAGAGGTTTCTAGCCCATAGTCAGCAGACTCCAAAGCAGTGTGACATGGAGGAACGGCCAGAGCACAGGAAAGCTTGGAAGCAGGAAGCAGAGAGACAGAGAGAAGGAAGAAGCCAGGAAGTGAGACAAACCCTTCTGGGTCAAGCCCCAGGGACTTCCGACTGAGTTCCATCTCCCAGGATCACATTTGGCTATGAGGCCCCCAAGGGCCAAGCATCTTCCGAAAGCCCTGCCTTGAGTGCATGTGGCTCTGTGAGCACAGCCAGATACAACCCGGCCAGCAGTTTTCCTGGGACCCCCCACAGCCAGCTTGTCTGTCTCTAAATTCCCGTGGGTCAAAGCCTCCTTCCGTTCCTCTAGAAGATCAGCATCTCATACTGAACCCCGAGCCTGGCCCTCCACGTGAATTACCCTGGAATCCTGTAGGGCGTGCTCTCAGTGGAGGGGTGGGAGGCAGCTCTGTGTGTACCACACACTCCCGGAAGACTTCTCTCAGCCCAGCCCACTGTTGTGCTGCTCCTTGTTTCCAAAGGTGCAACGCCAAGAGATGGGCATTCTGGTGATTTAGTTGCTTAATGTCACCAAGCCCATTGGCCTTCACATGATGTGTGTACAATCTCAGGGAAGCAAACTGAACTTAACAAAATTCCTTGATTTGTCCTGTTTCACTGCTCCTAAGAGTTCTGTTTTTTAAAAACAACTTAAGAGATCTCTTAAGTGTCCCCAAGAGGGGCTAGGTCTTTAAGATGGTAGCAAACAAGCATTTAGCTACACACAATTATAAAAATAAATCCAACACAGGTTGGAATTTACCTAAGTTGCAAAGGAAATCCACACCTTTGGCAACGAAGCTATCAAATCTCAGTAAGAAAAGCAGAATCAGAGCACAGAACAGCCCAGCACCTTGGGGTCCCTGATGTGCAGCTTGCTTCTGGGAGAGGATGGCCAGGAAGGCAGCTTCACCAAGGGGCAGCCAAGGACAGATGCTCAGAGGCTGAGTCTCCTTCCTCCACCACCCCCTTCCTAGGACAGTCTCAGCCTCCTAGGGCAGCTGGAGATCCGCGCCTCCTTCTGACCTGGGACCAGGGAAGAAAACATAGGGACTCCCATCCCGCCAGTGGGGGGAGAAGGAACAGACCCCATCCCAGCTCAGCTGCAGGGCTGGGGAGGTGCAGCTAGCGGAAATAGAATAAATAAATAACCTAAATTTCCACCTCATAAAACTACACATGGAAGAGGGAAGCCAATCCAGTGCAAGCAGAAACAAGGAAAGAAGAAGGAGGGGAAGCAGAACAAACGAAACAAGTAGAGAGATACTAGCCAGGTCAATGAAAAGATCAATAAAGTGGACAGACTTTGAACTAGATTGTACATCTGTATTGTAATACTAAGGTGTAATCTACAGACATACTAAGATGAATTACAAATGCACAGCTGTACGGAGAAAAGTAGAGAGAGATCGACTGTATTGTTTGCCAGACTGCTGAGATTCACACGAACCATGATTTTACTTAAAATCAGTGAAGGAAGCAATTCTCCAGGTGGTTTTGCTTGTACTCCAGAATTGAGACATTATTGAAAATGTAAATCCTGAGTAAACTGGCTTACATGGATGGAACTATTTTAAGTGGAAGGAGGCTTTTGACGTCGCCTGTCCACGTTGCTCCTCTGCTGGGGGTGGGAGGGAGCTGCTGTCCCCAGGTACACAGGCTGAGCCCCAAGGAAGGGCACCTGTGGGGGCTCTGGTTCTCACCTAAGCTCCGCCTGGGCTCACCGGGCAAGGCCCTTGAGGCCCACTCTGCAGGTTCCAGATCTACATGACCTCCAGCCCCAGAGGCTGTTTGACATCACTGTTCTGTCAGTAGGACTTGCAGCTTGTGATAGAAATTTCAGCACCCTCTGACTCAGGACCTTCAGCTGACATGTCTTTTTATTCTCTGAGGGATTTCAATAACTTTAACTGCAGCTTGTAGATTTGAATTATGTATGTACATATATAAGTGGGATATATAATGATAAACACAGAGATTTAAATGATGGGAACACATTGCTCAATTGATTTTCATTTAAGGTAGACTGATGAATGATTCAATTCCCCCAGTTAGTTATTAACTGGGAATGTTTATGAGTTAAGTTTTAAAATCTTTTTAAATGAAAGGCAAAAAGTGTAAAGTTTTAACGTACTGACTTCTAAGGAATTTCTTAGCAGTTTCTTAATGGAGTGCCCTTAAGCGGCCTACGGAACGCAGAGGGCCTTACTCAAGCTCTGCTGCGTTTCCAAGGAGTCATGAATGGGGTTCGATATTTGCAGTCTGTGATATGTGGGCTTCTATTCCTGACCTGCACTTAAGACTAGTGAGAAATTGGGCAAGTTGTGAGGTTCTTCGGAGTCATAGCACGTGGCTTACAAACTGCAGACACTAAATTAATGCACAGCATATCTGAGAGTAAAACACACAGATGGTTAGAAAGTTACAGGCCGGAGTTGGAGCTGCTGAGCACTTCGGGGGCTGTGCGCCATCAGTCTCGGGCTGGGGCCCACGCAGCGGTGCGGAGGGTGCGAGCTCCAAGCAGCGGTGCGTCGTCCGGGACGGGGAGGCCCTGCCCTGAGGTCGGGGTGGGTGAGCGCCGGGGCCTCGACACAGGAGACACAGCCGTGCGGCACGTCGTCCTGCACCCACGCTAAGCCCTCGGTTCAGATGACAGCTGTGTAGAGACTGAGTGTAGGGGGCAGTGAAGTTTAGGTGAGCCTTGAACAGCTTTCCCTTTCCACACGCTCCCCAATCTTTGCACAACCATTGTGTAATGTTGAGAAAGGATGTGTGTGGGAGCAACACGAGTGTGTCACTTGCTGTAGCGATGTATGTAACAGGCCTAACCAGTTCAAGTGCACTCAGCCAAGAGAGAAGGCAGCGAGCGGCAGGTGAGGCAGCAGGCCAGGCTCCGAGCCCCCTCCTGGAAGAGGCTGCTGTGCAGCCCCGAGTCCTTGCTATAGTGAGTGGATTGCTACAGACGCAGATGGCCCGCGTGGGACGCCAGAATCCCTCCGAGGTGACCAGATGGCTCTCTCGCGCCTCTTAATATTTAATGCTGGTCCTAGGGCACACTCTGATCATCTACAAAATAAGTTCGAGGAAAGATCATTTTCATGTAAGGTTTTAAAAATGCAATCAATATATTCCATTTATGATAAACTCCCTCTAACTTAAATTTTTATTTGAACTTAAAAGCCAACTATCCGTTGGTACTAGGTGCTTTTCTCTATTAGAATAATATAATCAATCCAGCTCTTAATTATATAAATCAATGACAGGCTGCTAACACCAATTCATAGCCAAAAAGCAAAATTGAGAAAAAAGCCAGATAAAATTGCTCCCTTTCAAACACTGAAATCCACACAAGCAAAAACAAAATATCAGTGCACTCTATTTTCTTTCTTAATTGAATTTTTATTAGCAGGTGTTTGCAGCGTGTTATTGCATTCGTGTGAGGAGCTGGTCCCTGTACACAGCGCATCTTCCTTCTTCTCTCACCCCTCTTCCTCTCTGCACCCTGCCCTCCCTTGTCCCCTTCCCATTTCCAAGGGATCTCTCTCCCTGTGTCTTATTGCCTGTCTTTTAATCTGTT